CCCCACCGGCGTCCCAACCTCGGCAGGCTGGCACACATGGACAACACTGCGTGACGACATGGTGCGTTTTAATTTGGCACGCATTTTTGGCACGCATAATATGGCCCCTAACACGTGCGGGTTTTAACCTCGGGTTCAACACTGAGGTGTGCATCTCCATCCACCCCCACCCCTATCTCCAGGTGTTTTATCGACTCTCAATAAGACTCCTGTCTGTATTTCGTTAGGTAATTCGAAGAGTGGGATTGGGACCGAGATGACGATCCATGCTTACAAGGGAAGAAGTTATTTCCCCGACCTGGTCCTGGTAACCCCCTACCCTTTCCCTCTTCGCATAAGAAAGCAGGTTAAAACTTACCCGTGCACTATCACAACAGCAGCCAGCACTCCAGGAGCCGTCCAAACAGATTAGGCTGAGCTCAGCTGTTTACAAGCCAGGCGAGTTCAAACCCCCGCTTATCCCGTGCACTCTGTGAATTCCTTCACGAAATCTAGACAGGGGGTCCTAGGTCTTGTAAGAAGCATATAATATGAGCGCACCCTGGGTGATGACAAAGATGAGAGGTGTGTGAGAGATGCATATGCATACCTCAGACCAGTGAGCAATTAGTTCACGACTGACCAGTTTATATTGGTGAAACTATACGTGTGTGCTTGTCACATTGTCACGTACACTAGAGTACGCCCACCACTTGTTTGCAGTACAGTTTTCCAGGCTCGCCTCCAAAATTGTTTTAAAGGAATTTTCAGAGCGAGTCCCTGAAAGTTTACACCCTCGCTCGCGAACACACACACACACGCACACACACACACAGACACACACACACGCAGCGAGCGAGGAGAGAGAGAGAGAAAGAGAGAGAGAGAGGGAGAGAGAGGGGGGGATGAGCCTATGGAGGCCCTTTGTAGGAGCAGCTAGGGGATTAAACGAGCGAGAAGGGAAGGGGCTGAGCGTCGAGCGAGCGATCGACACCGTGGGAAAGGGATACGGCCTGCAACACTACGGTCACTTGTTTGCTCCGCAAACTGCTGATTGGACCGCGAGAGGAGGGAGGGGGTGTAATGCCGCAGAGAGAGAGAGAGAGAGAGAGAGAGAGAGAGAGAGAGAGAGAGAGAGAGAGAGAGAGAGCTCTCCGCATTCCTCTCACGGCGGCCAATATCGGTGTTCGTTCACGGTAACCGCAGAAACGACACCTGCGAGGGGCACGGAGAGGCACCTGTCTATATACACGTCGCGGACGGGATTTTTGGGGTCGTTTACCTCTTGGGCCACATTGGGACACTGGTATAGGTTGGGGTGGGGTTAGGTGGGTCGGTCGGGGGTGAGCATGAACATCCCATCCTGCCGGCGTATAACCCAAGAGCACATACACGGAGTGCATTGAGAGACGCGAGACGAGACTCGAACTCTACAACTTTGGATGATTTGCGCACGGAATCAGCAGTTTATAGGGCGTCTCTCCAAACTCCGGGCGCGTGTACACACAATCGCAAGCAATGGTAAACACACTACCGGCAGCCCGTCACTCACAGTGCTCTGCAGCTGTACTATGCATCTGCGCTGCATCTGCAATGCATCTGCGCTCGCAGCTGCACGCCGCGCGTTCACCTGTGTGTGCACCTGCGACGCATCTGCAGGCAGACGCCATCCATGGCGCGCTGGGGCTGAGAGTCGCCGCAGCCGTTACACTACTTTACCCCCTGCAGCTGCCTGCACGCGCGCGCCCCTGCAGGCCGGCTGTGCACCTGCAGCTGGGGCCGTAACACTTACTTTGTTGCAGGCGGCACCAGCCCAGGAGGGGCGTGGGATGGGGTCGACCAAGACCGGCTGGCCAGCTCTATCAATGATTGTTTACGGCGCGGACCGTTCCGAAACGAGATTTATATTATCTGCAGAAACGGTCTGCAGGAGCGCTGATCGGACTCTGCTACACTATGGCAAAAAGCAAGAAGCATAGTGGCATCTGTGATTTGACCAAGAAGTAGGTTCGAATAAAATTGCCAGAGTCATTTGTCATTTGGGATTTCCCAGCGCCCCTGTAAGGCTGCTTACAAACATACGGGCACCTCTATATCTACACGCATCTGCTTGAACAATCTTATTGATACATCACACTTTAATTGCTATGCATGACACAATGGTCCCACACACTTTAATGTCGGGGACATTTCAGAACACAGTGTCACACACTTCTATTAGTAGAGTACACACTGCTAGTTAGACGGGGCGAAACATATTTTTGGCGACAACTGTGCGTCTGTGTTTGGCTGGCTTGTCAACATAACGACGACGGAGCCCCCCACGGCAGCCCCTCAGCTCCCCCTCTGCTTTCCCCTTTTGGCCCCGTGCCGGCACACTAGAAACGAGCTGTGGGCCACTGGCGCACCAGCGGGGCGGCGACGCGCCGCACCGGGTCAAGGTACGACGGGTGCAAGGAGGACTGTAACCACAAGAACACCGTGTCGGAGGAGACCAGGAGGAAGAGCGGCCCGGGAGGGGCCGTTCTTGACGGCGGGTATTTCCCATGAGTCTGCGCGCTGGACTCCTTCCAACGGCAAATACCGCCAGGATATGTGCAGTGCCAGTTTGGAGAAAGCACCCGACCTCCACCCACCGTGTCCGGCAAATACGAAGATATTAAAGAGGCTGTCCCCTGCTCCTCCATCTTTCTCTTCTTTTCAAACCCCAGCCTTCTCTTTTCCTCCGTCTCATACTCGTTTCCTCTGATCTTCCACAAGCAAAAGCTCATAAACTGCCACTAGATTGTTTGGGCGTCAGCGGCTTCTGTTGCCGAGGAAAGGCTTACCTCCTCGGTCTAGCTTCGACACACGCCACCACCGTAGACGAGGACGCGGAAAGCCGACGACTGAAACAGGAAAGAAAAAGTACAGCAAAGTTAGTAAAATTCCAGGTATAAAATCACGGCGAGCTCTGGGAACGATGACCTGTCACGCGGGCGCACTCGTCCAGACGGTTCGCTCGCGGGTTATATGGCCGCGCATGGCTGGAGGTCCGGGGACAGTGCCACCACACCGTATGGCTTTATTTAGTCAGACCATAAAAGTTTGGCCTCGCTGCGGTCCGACCGAAGAGAGCGTCCACGAGGCGAGCGGGAAAGTGGGATGAGAATTGTTCGAGAAAAGAGCAGGGCGAGGTGGGGGATAAAGAGGGGCAGGAGGG